AAAAAAAAAAAAAAAAAAAAAAAAAAAAGAAAAAAAAAATTTTTTTCATGAAGTAACCTTAAATTGCAAGAAAAACCAAAACATATTCCCAGGGCAGTTTGGGAAGTTATTGAAGTATCCTATTTAAGCCTGATGTGTCTCTGACCTCATGCTTTTCTCTTAAAATTTATTTTTATATTTGCATTTTACCCCACTTTTAATTAATTAATTAATTTGAGACAAAGCCTTACTATGTCACCAGGTTGGAGTGCAGTGGCACAATCTCAGCTCACTGCAACCTCCGCTTCCTGGGTTCAAGCGATTCTCCTGCCTCAGCCTCCTGAGTAGCTGGGACTACAGGTGGGCGCCACGAAGCCCAGCTAATTCTGTATTTTTAGTAGCGAGGGCTTCACCATATTGGTCTGGATGGTCTTGATCTCTTGACCTCGTGATCTGACCCCCTCAGCCTCCCAAAGTGCAGGGATTAGAGGTGTGAGCCACTGAGTCCGGTCTAACCCACATTTTATTAATGTTTATTTTCTTTTTCAAAACAAAAATTTTAAGGAGGAACAAAGGCATGTCTTATATGGTATCTTTTTCAAAATTTTAAATGATTAGATGCAATGTGTGTTTAAATGTAAGCCATTTCAAATGACTTATCGAGTAAATCATTTAACTCTTACCTCCCTAAAAATCTTTTTTGAAAAAAAAAAGTGGTAATACAAGAAGGTGCACCTTCCATATTTATCCCATAGCTTTGTTTAGTTCCTAGTGCCTGGCTTCAAAAACCTGGATCCCAGTTTGAAAGCATCACTACAGAAAAAACTGCATTAAAGACATGTTTTTTTGTTTTGTTTGTTTGCTTTTTTTTTTTTTTTGAGACGAAGTGCCCCTCTGTCACCTAGGCTGGAGTGCAGTGGCACAATCTTGACTCACTGCAACCTCTGCCTCCCAGGTTCAAGCAATTCTCTGCCTCAGCCTCCCACGTAGCTGGGATTACAAGCACCCACCACCATGCCTGGTTAATTTTTATATTTTTGGTAGAGACAGGGTTTCACCATCTTGGCCATGCTGGTCTTGAACTCCTGACCGTGTGATCCACCCGCCTCGGCCTCCCAAAGTGCTAGGATTACAGGTGTGAGCCACCACGCCCAGCCTAAAGACATTTTAAGAATGATGATGAAGGCTGGGCATGGTGGCTCACACCTGTAATCTCAGCACTTTGGGAGGCCAAGGAGGGCAGATCACAAGGTCAGGAGATTGAGACTGGCCTGGCCAACATAGTGAAACCCTGTCTCTACTAAAAATACAAAAGGCCGGGTGTGGTGGTGGCCGCCTGTAATCCCAGCTACTCAGGAGGCTGAGGAAGAAGAATTCCGAGTAGCTGGGATCATCGGTGCACGCCACCACGCCCAGCTAATTTTTTGTATTTTTGGTAGAGACAGGGTTTCGCCATGTTGTCGAGGCTGGTCCCAAATGCATGAGCTCAAGGAGATCTGCCTGCCTTGGCTTCCCAAAGTGCTGGGATTACAGGTGTGAGCCACCGCACCCGGCCAGCCTTTTTTCTTTTATCAGAATTGATATTAAACTACATGCTGAGCCTCTATCTATGTCCTTATCTTCCTTCTGGCATAACTACGGCCATTTGAAATGTGTGGGGTTTGCTAAAGTGCTCAACATACATTTTTTCCTTTTTTTTTTTTTTTTTGGACGGAGTTTCGCTCTTGTTACCCAGGCTGGAGTGCAATGGCGCGATCTCGGCTCACCGCAACCTCCGCCTCCTGGATTCAGGCAATTCTCCTGCCTCAGCCTCCTGAGTAGCTGGGATTACAGGCACGCGCCACCATACCCAACTAATTTTTTGTAGTTTTAGTAGAGACGGGGTTTCACCATGTTGACCAGGATGGTCTCGATCTCTTGACCTCGTGATCCACCCGCCTCGGCCTCCCAAAGTGCTGGGATTACAGGCTTGAGCCACCGCGACCGGCCCATTTTTTCCTTTTTTTAGATCTATGTATGTAGAGGGCTCTGATTTGCAATATTTGGGAAGTTCTTCTAAGCTGGAAAGAAAAGTCAAGACAAAGAATCATCGCCAATAGGTAGGGAATAAGTTACACCCCCTTAAATAAGTCACACTCACCTAGGCAAGGAAAGATCTCATAACCCACCTTCTAAACTGCTTCCCTTTCTCCCCAAAGTTCATTTAGAAGCGGTCACTACGATGGCTTGAACGCCCCTTCCCAACTCTGTACCACAAAATGAGCTCTTGTGTAGCCCCGCTCCTCCCTCTCAGCACCTCAGACCCAAAAATGGAGACATTAGTTGCTTACTTTTCCAGCTACTTCTTAAGCTAGGCAGGCCATGAAGAAATAACAGTCTCAAAAACCGCCACGCTCGAGACTCGACTCACAGAGAGGCGTTGGTAGGTGCGTGGAATGAGGGCGCATATCTCCCAGCTGCAGTTGGGGGCTGACCCACAACCCCTTGCGAGGGCGGGAAAAGCGAGGGGGTCAGGAAAGGGGGACGGTCAGCGAGAAGAGCCAAGAGACTGCAACTCTACAATGCGAACACAGATTAATCCTAATATGATTGTTCCCTGAGCTTTTCACACCAAAAAAATGGTAACTGGCCAGTGTGTGTTCGTTACTCTCAATGCTCCCACTCAAGATCATTCCCATTAATGACTGCGGCTTCACATAACAGGCCACAGTGGAGGCAAGGAAATGTGGCGTGGAAAACCCACGGGGCCTGGCTCTCTATGCTAAGGTCTCCGTCCATTGTTTTACAGTCAGGGTGTACATTTGATAGAGAATCTCTTTTTATTTATTTATTATTATTATTTTTGAGAAATAGTCTTGCTCTGTCGCCAGGCTGGAATGCAGTGGCGCGATCTCCGCTCACTTCAGCCTGCGCCTCCCAGGTTCAAGCGATTCCTCTGCTTCAGCCTCCCGAGTAGCTGGGACTACAGGCGTGCGCCACCACGCCCGGCTAGTTTTTTGTATTTTAGTAGAGACAAGGTTTCAGCATGTTGACCAAGATGGTCTCAATCTTCTGACCTCGTGAAACACCCGCGTCGGCCTCCCAAAGTGCTGGGATTACATAGGCATGAGTCACCGGGCCCGGCCTGGGGAATCTGTAAATGGGATTTTGGGGAATCATAACGGAATGGTGCCTAAGTGTGAAAATATACAAGCCTGCGCAGAGCTGCAAGGCTCACGGCCGCGTGGCCAGCCCCTTCCGCTTTACGTCTGATGTCACGGCGTACGCGCCGGCGGGGGCGGGCGGAGCTTGGCAGCTCTGTGTTTAGCGGCTGAACCTGTGCGACTGCGCGGGAAGACGTTCCGCTTTGAAATGCAGCGGGATTTGCTGAGTTTCCCGCTGTCTCCAGCGGTGCGGGCGAAGTTGGTGTCTGCGGGTTTCCAGACTGCTGAGGAACTCCTGGAGGTGAAACCCTCCGAACTTAGCAAAGGTAAGGATTCCTGATGGCAAGCTGAGGCACACCGGCCGCCGTCCGTGCTGCCGCAGTCTTCGTTCTCCCGCAGTCTTCGTTCTCCCGCCTTGGGCTTCAGCCCAGTCTCCGTCAGATTCTGCTGCCTCGGCCGCGTTTACAACGTGAAACTGCTCCTTGGCTCCACTTACAAGTTGTCTGAATGGTTAGGAGAACTGTGGTCGTGAAAACATTTACTAACTCCTTTTCCTCTGGCAATGCCTGCTGAATGTTTTGAGGATTGTCTCATTTAACGCTGAAATAACCTGCTTAGGTCGATTATTATGTTCAGTATATGGATGAGAGAGAGAACTTATATCTTGGGGAGGTCAGGTAACTTTTCATGATAACTGGGTTAGGAAATAGTGGAGTCACAATTGGTTGTCTAATTTTTGCTGTTCCAAGATCCAAGGGGTAAGGGTTACATTTCAGAAATGCAGGATTTGTGTAGGACTGGAGACACTAAGAATGAGAAAGGGAGTAGAATCCCTGGAATCTTAAGGAAGCAATAGAAAGGATATTCTCCTCTTACGTAATTCATCAAAACACCCAAAACCTCATATTCCAGAGCACTGCAGATTATACATTGGTGGGAACCACTGCATCCTGAGGTATACAAATATGAAGCTGGCGGTGGTCACGCTTTGTGCACATTACGCTGTGATATGCTCAGACCTGTGCTATTCATTATTGCCCTTAATGATGAAAAATACGGAGGTTTCAATTCGCCTCTAAAGAATGGCTTGGCCGGGTGCGGTGGCTCACGCCTGTAATCCCAGCACTTTGGGAGGCCGAGGTGGGCGGATCACAAGGTCAGGAGTTCGAGACCAGCCTGGTCAATATGGTGAAACCCGCTTCTCTATTAAAAATACAAAAATTAGCTGGGTGTGGTGGCAGGCGCCTGTAGTCTCAGCTGCTTGGGAGGCTGAGGCAGGAGAATCGCTTGAAAGCGGGAAGTGGAGGTTGCAGTGAGCCGAGATTGCGCCACTGTTCTCCAGCCTGGACAACAGCGAGACTCTTGTCTCAAAAAAGAAGAAAAAAAAAAAAAGTCTTGTAGACCCAGCCTTAACTGTTTAAGTCATACCGCACGCAGACTGTGTCCCCCAAAATTTGATGGACTCCTTTTTCTTCAACAAGTTGGTTTTTCAAAGAAGAAATGTGAGACGCTGAATAATAGTAATCACTAACAACTATTGACGATTTTAGATGGCCTTGATATTCTACCAAGCTTTTTACATGTATTGTCTCATTCCTGTTTTGTTTTGTTTTGTTTATGAAAGAAACAAAGAGAAAGGGGGAGAGAGAACAGGAGTCTTGCTCTATTGCCCAGGCTGGAATGCAATCTAAAAATAGGTATTAAAAACCTCTTTTATGCTGATAATTGTACTTAACGGCGGAGACAGGAAGGAATAAGGGAAGAAAATAACAAACAGCCAACCAATATTTCATTTAAATCTGTGAAATGCTGTGCAAATGCTGAAGAGTGATTTAATTCCTTTTATGTGGTCACTTTCAAAATAGGTGTAATGTGATACTGAAAAAAATGTATGTTCTGTGGACCTGGGGTGAAGAATTCTATAAATATTCACTGAGTTTACTTGTTCCAGGGCTGAGTTGAAATCATAAATGTCCCTGTTAATTTTCTATCTGGTTGATCTGTCGAATATTAACAATGTGGTGTCAGAGTCTCCCACTATTATTGTGCGGGAGTCCAAGTCTCTTTGTAAGTCATTAAGACCTTGTCTTATGTATCTGGGTGCTCCTATATTGGCTGCATATGTATTTATGATCATTGACTCCTGTTGTTACATTGATCCTTTTACCATTATGTAATGTCCTTTGTTTCTTTTAGTCTTTGTTACTATTAAAGTCTATTTTGTCAGAGAGGAAAGTTACAACTCCTGTTTTTTTGTTGTTTTTTTTTTTCTCTCCATTTGATTGGTGTGTCCTTGCTTATGAGATGGATCTGGATACAGTGTACTGATGGGTTTTGACTTTTTATTCAGTTTGTTGACTTTTTATTCGTGTGTCTGTGTCTTTGGGGCGTTTAATCCATTTAAATTTAGGATTAATATTGATATTTGTGAGTTTAATATTGTCATTTAATGCTAGCTGGCTATTTCACCCATTAGTTGATATAGATTTTTCATTATGAAGATACTCTTGCCGGGCGCGGTGGCTCAAGCCTGTAATCCCAGCACTTTGGGAGGCCGAGGCGGGTGGATCACGAGGTCAAGAGATCGAGACCATCCTGGTTAACATGGTGAAACCCCGTCTCTACTAAAAATACAAAAAATTAGCTGGGCACGGTGGCGCGTGCCTGTAATCCCAGCGACTCAGGAGGCTGGGGCAGGAGAATTGCCTGAACCTGGGAGGCGGAGGTTGCGGTGAGCCGAGATCGCGCCATTGCACTCCAGCCTGGGTAACAAGAGCGAAACTCCGTCTCAAAAAAAAAAAAAAAGAAGATACTCTTTACCTTTTGGTAAGTTTTTGGGATGACTGTGATACTGGTTGTTCCTTTCTGTGTGTGTGTAGTGGTTCTTTCAGAAGCTCTTGTAAAGCAGGCCTGGTGGTGATGAAATCTCTGAGTGCTTGTTTGTTCGTGAAAAATTTTATTTTTCCTTCATTTATGAAGCTTAGTTTGGCTGGATATGAGATTCTGGGTTGAAAATTCTTTTCTTTGAGGATAGTGAATATTGACCCCCACTCTCTTCTAGTTTGTAGGGTTTCTGCTGAGAGATCTGCTGTGAGTCTGATAGGTTTCCCTTTATGGGTAACCTGACCTTTCTCTCTAGCTGCCCTTAGAATTTTCTCCTTTATTTCAACCCTGGTGAATTTAACAATTATGTGTCTTGCGGTTGCTCTTCTTGAGGAATATCTTTGTGATGTTCTCTGTATTACCTGAAGTTGAGTATTGTCCTGCCTTACTAGGTTAGGAAAGTTTTCCTGAATAATATTCTCAAGAATATTTTCCAGTTTGGATTCATTCTCTTCATGACATTCAGGTACACCTATCAAACGTAAATTAGGTCTTTTCACATAGTTCCATATTTCTTGGGAGACTCTGCTCATTCCTTTTTACTTTTTCTTCTCTAATCTTGTCTTCTCGTTTCATTTCATTAAGTTGGTCTTCAACCTCTGATATCCTTTCTTCTGCTTGATCAATTAGAGTGTTAAAATCTGTGCATACTTCGCGGAGTTCTCGTGTTGTATTCTTCAGTTCCACTAATTCACTTATAGTCCTCTCTAAATTGTCTATTCTCGTTAGGATTTCATCAAACCTTTTTTCAATGTTCTTAGTTTCTTTACATTGGGCTAGAACATGTTCTTTTAACTCACAGAATTTTCTTATTATCCACCTTCTGAAGCCTAATTCTGTTATTGGAATGCACTCATTCTCCATGAGGCCTTGTTCCCTTGTTGATGAGGAACTGTGATCCCCTGTAGAGGGAGAGGCATTCTGATTTTGAGTATTCTCAGCCTTTTTACACTGGTTTCTTCCCGTCATTGGCAATTTATCCACCTGTCATCTTTGTAATTACCGACTTTCAAATTAGGTCTCTAAGTGGACGTCCAACTTGTTGATTCCCAGCGCCGAAATCTGAGCAACTCACTGCACCGGCTAAAACAGCAGCGTTAAGATTCTTGGTGCTTTTCTGTCCGGGAATCTCCGGTCTGGCTTCCCTCTTGAGTCCCTTTTTCAATCAGCTGAATAGGCAACTCTGCCCTCCCGGAGCTCCAAACGTCACCAAAAGGGGACCCAGTCCCGTTTACACTGCATCGAGAACTGCTGCGCCGGCCACAGGAATCAACGCTGGCGACCCGTGGGGCTCCCCCACTGGGAATCTCCTGGTCCGTGAGCAACAAAAATTCGTCTGAAAGTGTGGCGTCCTCTTGTTCTCTGAGCTTTCACTGGGAGCTACAATCCTGAGCTGCTAGTAATCGGCCATCTTGGATCTCTCTCCCCATTCCTGTTTTATAGAAGAAAAAATTTGAGCAAAAAGAAGGGAAGTAACTTGCCCAAAGTCACACCATAAGTGGTGTCAGAATTTACAAACCCAGGCAATCTGATTCCAGCATTCAGGCTCTTGAACTGGATAAGATTTTCATTTCCTAAATGTTGTCATCACCATTGTCTTTTATTAGCCCCATATTTATGGCTCATATTCTTATCAAATCAAGCACCAATATATTAAACTGATAAGTGATGTCATCTTCACCATTATTTCTTCAGCCAGCTTGTTTTGTAACTGCCATTTTCTCTCCTCAGGCCATGCTGTCAGACAGGTGAAATTGCGTGCTCAAGGGAGCATAAGTGAATTCTTCAAAATACTTGTGCATTGGATAATTATTCTTATTAGTTTGGAGTGATATATGAATTTTTTTTACATCAGTTATTTCCATGAAAACTTTTTATTGTAAGTAATACATGCATATGTGCTTCTTAAAGTTGTACCTTATTTCAGGCAGTTAAAAAATGAGAATTTTTCATTCTCATCTGAAAAATAATTTGTATACTTTATGAGTACGAGATAATTATGGCTTCATAAGACCAAAAGAGATAGTAAAAATGTGCTAATAGTGAGTACATTTTGGCTGGGTGCAGTGGCTCATGCCTGTAATACCAGCAGTTTGGGAGGCTGAGGTGGGCAAATCATGAGGTCAGGCATTGGAGACTAGCCTGACCAACATGGTGAAACCCTGTCTCCACTAAAAATATAAAAATTAGTTGGGCGTGGTGGTGCGCGCCTGTAATCTCAGCTACTCAAGGAGACTGAGGCAGGAGAATTGCTTGAACCCGGGAGGTGGAGGTTGCAGTTACCTTAGATGGAGCCATCACTCCAGCCTGGGAGACAGAGTGAGAGTCTGTCTCAAAAAAGAAAGAAAGAAAGCCCAGGCGCAGTGGCCTAGGTCTGTAATCCCAGCACTTTGGAAGGCTAAGGTGGGCGGATCACCTGAGGTCAGGAGTTAGAGACCAGTCTGGCCAACATAGAGAAACCCCCTCTCTACTAAAAATACAAAAAATTAGCTGGGCGTGGTGGTGCATGCCTGTAATCCCAGCTACTCGGGAGGCTGAGGCAGGAGAGTCGCTTGAACTTGGGAGGCAGAGGTTGCGGTGAGCCGAGATCATGCCTAGACAACAAGAGCAAAACACCATCTCAAAAAAAGAAAAAAAAATAGTGAGTACATTTTTATTTCTGCTTCCTGAGACATTCTTGTAGGTACTCCGAAATGCTTTAGTTGAATCATTTCTGAGATAATAGGAAAATCTTTAAGTGATGACTAAGAAAACAAATTCCTTTATTAATCTGAATTTTTTTTTTTTTTTTTTTTTTTTGAGATGGAATCTTACTCTGTCACCAGGCTGGAGTGCAATGGTGCGATCTCAGCTCACTGCAACCTCCACCTCCTGGGTTCAAGCAATTTTCCTGCCTCAATCTCCTTGAGTAGCTGGGATTACAGGCACGCAAGAGATTCTCCCTGCCTCAGCCTCCCAGGGAATAGCTGGGATTACAGGCATGTGCCACCACACCTGGCTAATTTTTGTATTTTTAGTAGAGATGGGGCTTCACCACATTGGCCAGGGTGGTCTTGAACTCCAGACCTTGTGATCTGCCCACCTGGGCCTCCCAAAATGCTGGGATTACAGATGTTAGCCACAGTGTCCAGCCAAACTGAGAAATTAAATGGTTGATAGAATGTTACATTTTTATCTTTCTCTACTCTTAGCATCACTCTTGTCTAAAAATTAAAATTAATCAAGACAGCCCATTATCATGTTACACTGTTTTAAATCTCTAAAATTAGGGTTCTTTTTTTCTTATTTTATTTTCAGAAGTTGGGATATCTAAAGAGGAAGCCTTAGAAACTCTGCAAATTATAAGAAGAGAATGTCTCACAAATAAACCAAGATATGCTGGTACATCTGAGTCAGGAAAGAAGTGTACAGCACTGGAACTTCTTGAACAGGAGCATACCCAGGGCTCCATAATTACCTTCTGTTCAGCACTAGATAATATTCTTGGGGGTGGAGTACCCTTAATGAAAACGACAGAAATTTGTGGTGCACCAGGCATTGGAAAAACACAATTATGGTAAAATAAAATGTTCTCCTTATAAGGGCGGGTTTAATAACATTATGAAAGTAATATTTTGTACTGTCGGTTTATAGTCAGGAAACCAAGTAAGGTATATATGTGCTCTTAATTTTAAGTGTGCCTGTACATCAAACAAAAATTAACTTACTATTTGTGTTACTTCAGTATCCCTGCATGATAAATTGATACAATTATTTTGATATGAAAAAATGTTTCTTTTGCAAATTGTAGTGTAGTCATAAGGTTAAACAGGAAGTTTCTGCTTCATTCATTCCTGAGACTATATTTGAAAGTCAGATGTTTGAAAGTAGATTTATGGCTAGGTGCAGTGGCTCATGCCTATAATCCCAGCACTTTGGGAGGTTGAGGCAGGAGGATCGCTTGAGCCCAGGAGGTTGAGGCCCGCCTGGGAAACAGTGAGACCTCATCTCTACTAAAAATGAAAAATTAGCTGGGTGTGGGGGCACATGCTTATGGTCCTAGCTGTTTGGGAGGCTGAGGCAGGAGGATTGCTTGAGCCGGAGAGGTCAAAACTGCAGTGAGCCTTGACTGCACCACTGCATTCCTGTCTGGGCAGGAGAATAAGACCCCTATATCAAAAAAGAAAAGAGGCCAGGCGCTGTTGCTCACGCTTATAATCCCAGCACTTTGGGAGCCTGAGGCAGGCAGATCACCTGAGGTCAAAGGTTCGAGACCAGCCTGGCCAACATGGCAAAACCCTGTCTTTACTAAAAATACAAAAAAAAAATAGCCAGGCATGGTGGCACATAGTCCCAGCTACTCAGGAGGCTGAGGCAGAATAATGGCTTGAACCTGGGAACTACAAAAGGAGCTCTTGTGTAGACTAGCTCCTCCCTCTCAGGACCCCAGGAGCCCAGACTCACTAATGGGAAAATTAGTTGCTTACTTTTCCAGCTACTTCTTAAGCTAGGCAGGCCATGAAGAAATAACAGTCTCAGAAACCTCCATGCTCAAGACTCAGCTCCCGGGAAGGCATGGGTGGGTGTGGGAAATGGGGACTGATGTCTGCCAGGGGCCACTGGGGGCTGGCCTACAATCCCTCGCCTGAAAAGTGAGGGAGATTACAAAAGGGGGATGGCCAGTGAGAAGAGCCAAAAGGCTGCAACTCTACAATGAGCATGCAGACTAATCCAAATGATTGTTGCCTGAGTTTTTCACACCAAAAAAAAAAAAGGTAACTGGCCAGTGTGTGCTTGTTACTGTCACTACACCCACTCGAGATCATTCCTATTAATGACTCTAAGGCTTCACCTAATAGGCCATGGTGGAGGCAAGGAAATGTGGCATGGAGGTTGCATTGAGCTGAGATCGTGCCACTGCACTCCAGCTTTGGTGACAGAGTGAGACTTTGTCTCAAAAAAAAAGCAAAAATAGAAAGTAGATTTATGTATAATAAGGGGCTCCATTTCTAGAGGCCTGGAAATTATTAAAATATCCTTAATCTTGATTTTATAGGCATGTCCTCCCCCCAATCCAGTTGATTCACATATAGTCAATTGGTTCACTTACATCTGGAGCCATGAAGAGTTAGACATTTCTGTTGCCTTGGGAGTATATTTGGATTTATAAAACTTTAGTGATACCTAACTTGTCATTATCTGGAGTTTCAAATACACTGCCTTGGATGATCATGATGATTTAGTTATTTGCCATCTTTCTCTTGACAGTATGCAGTTGGCAGTAGATGTGCAGATACCAGAATGTTTTGGAGGAGTGGCAGGTGAAGCAGTTTTTATTGATACAGAGGGAAGTTTTATGGTTGATAGAGTGGTAGACCTTGCTACTGCCTGCATTCAGCACCTTCAGCTTATAGCAGAAAAACACAAGGGAGAGGGTAAGTTAGCAAATGATCCTCCTTTTTTCTCTATTAATAATTTACATTTTCTGTATTAGTAATTTGCATTTGTGCCCGTCTCATACCTCTGCAACAGATCATTTGGAATATGAAGCCTAATGATTTAACAGTGAACTAGTGTTAAACTCTGCTACTACTCTTACAAAATGAGAAATGCAACAGCCTGGACTGGCTTTTTTTTCCTTCCCACTTATGACCCCCACTTCTTACTGTAGAAGCTTTGGGACAAAACCTATGTATGTATTTCAGTCATCATAGTCCGTCTTATTAGGTATAAGTTAATGTTTTTGGACATCTTAATATAAGCAACCTGTTGTTAAATATATTCAATGTATAATAATTTCCATATTGGTTTTCCAAAAACCAAAGGTAGCTTTGAAAACCACGTCTGAGGCCAAGTGCAGTGGCTCATGCCCTTAATCCCAGCACTTTGGGAGGCCGAGGTGGGTGGATCACCTGAGGTCAGGAGTTCGAGACCAGCGTAACCGACATGATGAAACCCTGCCTCTATTAAAAATACAAAAAGTAGCCAGGTACGGTGGTACACGCCTATAATCTCAGTTACTCAGGAGGCTGAGGCAGGAGAATCACTTGAACTCAGGAGGCAGAGGTTGCCGTAAGCCCAGATTGTGCTGGTGCACTCCAGCCTAGGCGGCAGAGTAAGACTGTCTCTTAAAAACAACAAAAAAAGGCCGGGCGTGGTGGCTCACGCTTGTAATCCCAGCACTTTGGGAGGCCGAGGTGGGTGGATCACGAGGTCAAGAGATCGAGACCATCCTGGTCAACATGGTGAAACCCCGTCTCTACTAAAACTACAAAACATTAGCTGGGCATGGGTGGTGCGTGCCTGTAATCCAGCTACTCAGGAGGCTGAGGCAGGAGAATTGCTTGAACCCAGGAGGCGGAGGTTGCGGTGAGCCGAGATCGCGCCATTGCACTCCAGCCTGGGTAACAAGAGCGAAACTCCGTCTCCAAAAAAAAAAAAAAAAAAAAAAAAAAAAAAAAAACAGAAAAAAGAAAATTATGTCTGAAATGTTGGATTATTAAGCAGATAGATGTGGGGCTTCTTTGGTTAGTATATAGCTGATTTCATAACTGCACTAATTTTTTTTTGACTTTTTTTTTTTTTTTTGAGACAGAGACGGGGTTTCACCATGTTGGCCATGCTGGTCTTGAACTCCTGACCGCCAGTAATCCACCCGCCTCGGCCTCCCAAAGTGCTGAGATTACAGGCGTGAGCCACTGCGCCCCGGCCAACTACACTGAGTTTTAAAGTGTTTGGGAGATATCTTTGGTGCTTGTTAGGTGACAATAAAGTGACTATAAAACAATTTTTTTGTTTTTTTGAGACAGAATCTTGCTTGGCCTCCCAAAGTGCTGGGATTACAGGCATGATCCTGGCCTAAAACAGTTTTTTGAAAGGTAATTTATATTCAAGTCCCTATTCTTTCAATTACTTATAAATTAAATGGCTTATGGATTGACCGTTTTCTTTTTTCTTTCTTTTACAGAGTCTTGCTCTGTCGCCCAGGCTAGAGTGCAGTGGTGCAATCTCGACTCACTACAACCTCCGCCTGCCTGGTTAAAGCAATTCTCCTGCCTCAGCCTCCTGAGTAGCTGGGACTATGGGTGGGCACCACCATGCCCAGCTAATTTGTATTTTTAGTAGAGATGGAGTTTCACCATGCTGGCCAGGCTGGTCTCGAACTCCTGACCTTGTGATCCACTCATCTTGGCCTCCCGAAGTGCTGAGATTACAGGTGTGAGCCACTGTGCCCAGCCTGATTGACTGTTTTGTTTTGCTTTGTTTTATTTATTTTTTGGATGTGAGGTCTTTATTCTTTCCTCTAGAAGTTTTTTAAAAAAATAATGCTTTTCGGCCGGGCGCGGTGGCTCACGCCTGTAATCCCAGCACTTTGGGAAGCCGAGGCGGGTGGATCACGAGGTCAAGAGATCGAGACCATCCTGGTCAACATGGTGAAACCCCGTCTCTACTAAAAATACAAAAAATTAGCTGGGCATGATGGCACGTGCCTGTAATCCCAGCTACTCAGGAGGCTGAGGCAGGAGAATTGCCTGAACCCAGGAGGCGGAGGTTGCGGTGAGCCGAGATCGCGCCATTGTACTCCAGCCTGGGTAACAAGAGTGAAACTCCGTCTCAAAAAAAAAAAAAAAAAAAAGTGCTTTTCATAAGATTTTCTTTGTCTATTTCCTTTAAATGAGTGTAGTCAGCTGCATTTTCTTTTTCGTGGAGGTTCTAAGTATTCCATTTAGCTGTTGACTGGCATGCTTACTGAAAGACTTTTGGACACTGGCAGGATAGGCCACCGCAAAATATGCCAGTTTGGCATAAGGATTTTTTTGAGCTGAAGGCAATTGAGAAGAAACAGATAAAGGAACTCTGCCCTTCCTCAAGGTTTTTTTTTTGAGACGGAGTCTCACTCTTGTCACCTAGGCTGGAATGCAGTGGTGTAATCTTGGCTCACTGCAACCTCCGCCACCCAGGTTCAAGCAGTTCTCCTGCCTCAGCCTGCTGAGTAGGGTTATAGGCACCTACCACCATCCCTGGCTAATTTTTGTACTTTTAGTAGAGGTGGGGTTTTGCCATATTGGCCAGGCTGGTCTCGAATCCCTGACCTCAGGTAATCTGCCCCCCCTTGGCCTCCCAAAGTGCTGAGATTTCAGGCATGAGCCACCATCCCCAGCCCCTTTCTCTGTTTTTCTAAAAATGGGGCATAAATGTACAAAAGAGCCCCATCTTCCCTCTCTTACCAGGAAGACAAAAGTTCATCATCACAGACAACTTTAGACCCTTATCAGCCTACATAACAAATTTTACTAGCTATTCTTTATCTCCAATTAGTTTCCCATATATTTGCCTTACCACAATATTTGCTGCCGTTAGAGACTCATGGTCCTTTTCCTTTGTCTTGTTACTTCTCTAAAAATTTATTGTACCTTCAGGAAGATAAGCCTAAATCTTTATTTTATTTTATTTATTTATTTATTTTGAGACAGAATCTGGCTCTGCTGCCCAGGCTGCAATGCAGTGGTGCAGTCTTGGCTCACTGCAATCTCCACCTCCCAGGTTCAAGCGATTTTCCTGCCTCAGCCTCCCGAGTAACTGGGAGCTGGGAATACAGGCGCATGCCACCATACCTAGCTAATTTTTGTATTTTTAGTAGAGACAGAGTTCACCATGTTGGCCAGACTGGCCTCAAACTTCTTTTTTTTTTTTTTTTTTTTTTTGTCTCAAGCTTCTTACCTCAAGTTATTCTACCCCGGCTTCCCTAAATACTGGGATTATAGGTGTGAACCACTGTGCCCGGGCCCCAAATCTAACCAGTTTTGAGTTACTACTCTCTGGACTCTCCTGTGTTACAGGCACTATGCACAATTAATGAACTCTTTTTCTCTTGTTAATCCATTTTTACCAGTCTAATTTATAGGGCTTCGGCCAAGAAACCTAAGAGGGTAGCAGAAAAAAGAATTTTTCCTCCTTTATACCCTAAGGCTACCTATGCCACAATGCGTGATTTTGTAATAGTGTCTTAAAATCTTACTGTAAATAGAGTGGGTGTAGCACTCAGATGTAAAGTTTTTTTTTGTTTTGTTGTTTTTTTTTTTGAGACGGAGTCTCACTCTGTCACCCAGGCTGGCATGCAATGGCACGATCTTGGCTCACTGCAACTTCTGCCTCCTGGGTGCAAGCCATTCTCCTGCCTCAGCCTCCCAAGTAGCTGAGATTACAGGTGTCTGCCACCACACCCAGCTGGTTTTTTTGTCTCAAACTCCTGACCTAGTGATCTACCTACCTTGGCCTCCTAAAGTACTGGAATTACAGGCATGAGCCCCCCACGCCCGGCCTCAAACTGTTTTGTTTTTTTTAAACTTCTGATCTTGTGAACGACCCGCCTCAGCCTCCCAAAGTGCTGGAATTATATGCATGAGCCACCAGCCCAGATACAACGTTTTTTTTTTTTGTTTTTTTGTTTTTTTTTTTGAGACGGAGTTTCGCTCTTGTTACCCAGGCTGGAGTGCAATGGCGCGATCTCGGCTCACCGCAACCTCCGCCTCCCAGGTTCAGGCAATTCTCCTGCCTCAGCCTCCTGAGTAGCTGGGATTACAGGCACGCGCCACCATGCCCAGCTAATTTTTTGTATTTTTAGTAGAGACAGGGTTTCACCGTGTTGACCAGGATGGTCTCGATCTCTTGACCTCGTGATCCACCCGCCTCGGCCTCCCAAAGTGCTGGGATTACAGGCGTAAGCCACCGCGCCCGGCCTACGTTTTTAATGATTTATATGAGATTAAATTGTCATTGATGTGGTGAAAAATTGACTCTGTTAAGTATATGTTTGCAAGAGGCTATGTTTTCTATTGGTTTTTCAGTGTTAAAATTTAAGGACATTTTATTTATTTTTAATGTTTTACTTTTTTTGAAACAGTGTCTCACTTTGTCACCTAGGCTGCATTGCAGTAGCATGATCATGGTTCACTGCAGCTTTGATCTCCCTGGACTCAGGTGATCCTTTCACTTCAGCCCACCAAATAGCTGGGACTACAGGCGGGCACCACCATGCTCAGCTAATTTTTTTTTTTTTTTAATTTTTTGTAGAGCCAGAGTTTTGTCATGTTGCCCAGGCTCGTCTTGAACTCATGGGTTCAAGTGATCTGCCTGCCTTGGTCTCCTAAAGTGTTAGAATTACAGGCATGAGCCACTGTGCCTGGCCTAAGTACATTTTAAAATGTAGTAACTGCTGGGCGCGGTGGCTCACGCCTGTAATCCTAGCACTTTGGGAGGCTGAGTCGGGTGGATCACAAGGTCAAGAGACCGAGACCATCCTGGTCAACACGGTGAAATCCCATCTCTACTAAAAATACAAAAAATTAGCTGGGCATGGTGGCACGTGCCTGTAATCCCAGCTGCTCAGCAGGCTGAGGCAGGAGAATTGCCTGAACCCAGGAGGCGGAGGTTGCGGTGAGCCGAGATCGCGCCATTGCACTCCAGCCTGGGTAACAAGCGTGAAACTCCGTCTCAAAAAAAAAAAAAAAATGCAGTAACTAATTGGTTTCTCTCTGAAATATGTACAAAACCAAACTTTTTTTTTTTTTTCTGAGGCAGAGTCTTGCTCTGTCGCCAAGGCTAGAGTGCAGTGGCTCGATCTCATCTCACTGCAACCTCTGTCTCCAGGGCTCAAGCAATTCTCCTGCCTCAGCCTCCCGAGTAACTGGGATTGCAGGCACGCGCCACCATGCCAGGCTAATTTTTGTATTTTTAGTAGAGACAGGGGTTCACCACGTTGGCCAGGCTGGTCTCGAACTCCTGATCTAGTGATCCACCTATCTTGGCCTCCTAAAGTACTGGAATTACAGGCATGAGCCCCCCCACGCCCAGCCTCAAACTGTTTTATTTTTTTTTAACATCCAATCTAAGGAAGATTTTAAGTAATTGTTGCTAGTTAAATATCAAATTATACTATAACATTCAACAGAAAAAATGCTTCATTTGAACATTTTTGCCAACTTTTTTTTTTTTTTTTTAAGAGATCAAGTTTTATTCTGTTACCCAGGTTGGAGTCCAGTGGCACAATCACAGCTTACTGTAGCCTTGACCTCCCAGGCTCAAGCAATCTTCTTACCTTAACCTCCTAAGTAGCTAAGACTATAGTTGCACTCTACCACACCTAATTTTTGTATTTTTTGCAGATAGTGGGATTTTGCCATGTTGCCCATGCTGCCATTAACTTAATTTGTAGTCCTAAGGTAAAAAACAAGAAAGAGAAACTTCATTATGTTACTTCTGTTCAATGAAGCCAGTGACTAGAAATGTGAAAAGGCATCCTGGTGCAGTGGCTCATGCCTGTAATCCCAGCACTTTGGGAGGCTGATGCGAGTGGATCACCTGAGGTTAGGAGTTCGAGACCAGCATGGCCAACATGGAAAACGCTGTCTCTACAAAAAATACAAAAAATTACTGGGCGTGGTGGTGGGTGCCTGTAATCCCAGCTACTCGAGAGGCTGAGGCAGGAGAATTGCTTGAACCTGGGAGGCAGAGGTTACAGTGAGCCAAGGTCATGTCATTTGCACTCCAGCCTGGGCAACAAGAGCGAAACTCCACCTCAAAAAAAAAAGAAAAGAAATATGAAAAGGCAGGCATTAAAACACTAGTTGTATTTGTTTATAAATAATTTTACATAGCCTGATATATAAGGAAACAGTGGAAAATGTGAAAATAAAAGATCAGGCTGGGTGTGGTGGCTCATGCCTGTAATTTCAGCACTTTGGGAAGCTGAGGCAGGTGGATCACCTGAGGTCAGCAGTTCGAGACCAACCTGGCCAACATGTTGAAATCCCATCTCTACTAAAAATACAGAAATTAGCCGGGCATGGTGGTGAGCACCTGTAATCCCAGCTACTCGAGAGGCTGAGTCAGGAGAATCGCTTGAGCCCAGAGGCTCTAGAGGTTGCAGTGTGGAGATCATGCCACTGCACTCCAGCCTGGGTGACAGAGTGAGACTTTATCTCAAAAAAAAAAAAAAAAAATCAAGTGGCTGGGCACAGTGTTTTATGCCTGTTATCCCAGCGCTTTGGGAGGCTGCGACAGGAGGATCCCTTGAGCCTGGGAGTTGGAGATTGCAGTGAGCTATGATTGCTACAGTGCTCCAGCCTGGGCATCAGAGTGAGACCTCACCTCTAAAAAATTAAGAGAGATCAGATATTATGAACTGATAGTTTATAGTAATTTTTGCTACAGTTTGTCATCTTTCAATTAAATAATTTCGTTATCCAAAGGAGAACATTTTGTTATTAAAAAGTATTGTTTTCCATGCCCGGGCGCGGTGGCTCAAGCCTGTAATCCCAGCACTTTGGGAGGCCGAGGCGGGTGGATCACGAGGTCAAGAGATCGAGACCATCCTGGTCAACACGGTGAAACCCCGTCTCTACTAAAAATACAAAAACATTAGCTGGGCATGGTGGCGCATGCCTGTAATCCCAGCTACTGAGGAGGTTGAGGCAGGAGAATTGCCCGAACCCAGGAGGCGGAGGTTGCGGTGAGCCGAGATCGCGCCATTGCACTCCAGCCTGGGTAACAAGAGTGAAACTCCGTCTCAAAAAAAAAAAAAACAAAAAAAAAACACCAAACAAAAATAAAAAGTATTGTTTTCCTGCAATTGCCAGCACATCCAAATGGGTAAAACTAATTAAGATTGTGATTGTTTTGTTGTTTCAGAACACCGAAAAGCTTTGGAGGATTTCACTCTTGAAAATATTCTTTCCCATATTTATTATTTTCGCTGTCGTGACTACACAGAGTTACTGGCACAAGTTTATCTTCTTCCAGCTTTCCTTTCAGAACAGTCAAAGGTATGAGTCAGACTACTCAAATGTAACTAACCAAGTATTTTTTGAGGTATCTGATAAGCATGAAAAAATAACCAACCAGTACAGTAGCATAAAATCAAAGTCAAAGCCAATTGAGAAAATGTCTTCCTTCCTTGACATACAATTTATTTATTTTTGTTTTGTACCTATGTATATAGTGTATGCCCAGAGTAAGAGATTGAAATAATATAGAAAGAAGTTTCATTTCCAGTAATAGTGGGATAGCTATACTATACCTAGAAAGTATAGTATACCATACCTTGAAAGGTATAAAATGAAAAATAAAAACTTCCTTCTGCTACTGTTTCCGAGTGCCTTCCGCCAAAGTTGATCACTATTGGCCAGGTACAGTGGCTCATAGTTGTAATCCCAGCACTTTGGGAGGCCAAGGTGGGAAAATTACTTGAGCCCAGTAGTTCCAGACCAGCCTGGGCAACATAGTAATACATTGTCTCAGGCTGGGCGCTGTGGCTCAGGCCTATAATCCTAGCACTTTGGGAGGCCCAGGCAGGTAGATCATGAGGTCAAGAGATCAAGACCATCCTGGTCAACATGGTGAAACCCCGTCTCTACTGAAAATACAAAAATTAACTGTGCATGGTGGAGTATGCCTGTAGTCCCAGTTACTCGGGAGGCTGAGGCAGGAGAATTGCTTGAACCCAGGAGGTAGAGGTTGCGGTGAGCCGAGATTGTGCCATTGCACTCTAGCCTGGGTAACGAGCAGAACTCCATCTCAAAAAAAAAAAAAAAGACCAGGCTCGGTGGCTCAAGCCTGTAATCCCAGCACTTTGGGAGGCTGAGTCGGGTGGATCACAAGGTCAAGAAATTGAGACCATCCTGGTCAACATGGTGAAACCCCATCTCTACTAAGAATACAAAACATTAGCTGGGCATGGTGGCGCGTGCCTGTAATCCCAGCTACTCAGGAGGTTGAGGCAGGAGAATTGCCTGAACCCAGGAGGCGGAGGTTGCGGTGAGCCGAGATCAAACCATTGCACTCCAGCCTGGGTAACAAGAGCGAAACTCCGTCTCAAAAAAAAAAAAAAAAAAAAACATTGTTACTACCCAAAAAAAAAAAAAAAAAGCCATGTATGGTGTAGCTGTAGCTGTAGTCTCAGCCACTGAAAGCCAGGGTGGAACAGGGCTGAGGTGGGAGGATTGCTTGAGCCCAGCAGTTGAATGTTACATTGAGCTGCCATGCTATCATACATGGCCCTTTTATTTTTTATTTTTATTTTTTTGGGTAGAAATGGAGTCACTTCCTGGGGTCAAGTGATTTCTGTCCTCGGCCTCCCAAAGTACTGGGATTACAGGCATGAGTCACTGTGCCTGGCCCTTTAATTTTGATAAACATTATCAGTGACAAAGATTCTCCTTGAGGGAACTTGGCCGCATCCCATCTTTGGCCTGCCCAGCCCAGTCTTAGCAAAGAATCCTGCTGTCAGTTCAGAGAGAATTTCTCACACTTGATAGTCTGATCACCTTTGATATCTGATCACATTCCTCATTTCCTACCTTCGATGTTCAAATCCTTGGCATGCCTTTATTTATTTATTTAATTTATTTTTTTTAAAAACAGGGTTTCGCCATGTTGGTCAGGCTGGTCTTGAACTCCCGACCTCAGGTGATCTGCCCGCCTTGGCCTCCAAAGTGCTTAGATTACAGGCGTGAACCACCACACACCGGCCTTTTTTTTTTTTTTTTTTTTTTTTTTCTAATTTTTAGTTTTTTGATTTGACAGAGTCTTGCCCTGTTTCCCAGGCTGGAGTGCAGTGGCGGGATCTTGACTCACCGCAACCTCTCTGCTTCTCATGTTCAGGTGATTCTCCTGCCTCGGCGTCTCAAATAGCTGAGACTACAGGCATGTGCCACTGTGCCTGACTAATTGTTTTTTTTTTTTTTTTTTTTTTTTTTTTGTATTTTTAGTAGAGACAGGGTTTTGCATGTTGGTTAGGCGGGTCACCTGGCCAGCCTGCCTTTAATAAGAATCCTGTTAGGCCAGTTTAGTAAGAATTTCCTTACCCATGATGTCTCAGTGTTAGAAATTGTCCATTCACTGACTCCTTCACCGGCTCTTTTTTTTTTTTTCTTGAGATGGAGCCTCAGTCTGTCATCAGGCTGGGGTGCAGTGGCGCAATCTCAGCTCCCTGCGGCCTCCACCACGACGCCCAGTTCATTTCTTTTGTGTTTGTTTTTAGTAGAGACAGGTTTCACCCTGTTGGCCAGAACAGTCTTGATCTCTTGACCTCGTGATCCACCTCCCTTTGCCTCCCAAAGAGTTGGGATTACAAGCGTGAGCCACCGTGCCCGGGCTCACCTTGCTCTTGGCTATGAATCCCCACTTGTCCCTGTATTCTGATTTGAACCTAATCTCTCCCGTATTATGATACCCCTTTTGGAATAGCCTTGAATAAAGTCTCCTTACTGTTCTAAGAAGTATTAGCATAATTTTTTTAAATACAAATTGCCCTTCAGAAAGATTGCATCAATTTCTACTCTTATTAACAATATATTAGAATGCCTGTTATTCATCATCCTGATCTTATGAATATTTTTGCCAGGATTCTGCATAGAAAATGCCATCTCTTTGTTCACTTCGACCTCCAACTCCTAGGTTGAAGTGATTCTCCCACCTCAGCCTCCCATGCAGCTGGGATTACAGGCGCCTGTCACCACCCCTGGCTAATTTTTTGTGTTTTTAGTAGAAACAAGGTTTCACCATGTTGACCAGGCTGGCCTTGAGCTCCTGACCTCAGATGATCTGCCTGCCTCGGCCTCCCAAAGTGCTGGGATTACAGGTGTGAACTACCATGCCCAGCCTCAGATCTAAGTCTTTAATTCATTTTTTTGGTTTTTGTATATGGCAAGAGATAGGGGTCTAGTTTTCTTCTACATATGGATATCCAGTTTCCCAGCACCATTTATTAAAGAGACTGTCCTTTTCTAATGTATGTTCTTGGCACCTTTATTGAAATTGAGTTTACTATAGGCATATGAATTTGTTTCTGGGTTCTGGCTTCTGTTCCATTAGTCTATGTGTACATTTTTATGCCAGCACCGTGCTGTTACTATTACTGCAGCTCTGTAGTATAATTTGAAGTCAAGTAATGTGATTTCTCCAGTTTTGTTCTTTTTGCTCAGGATAGCTTTGGCTATTCTGGGTCTTCTATGTATGTTGATTTTTGTGTTCTGTAACTTCATTGAATTTCTTTATCAGTTCTAATAGTTTTTTGGTGGAGTCTTTAGGTTTTTCCAAATATAACATCATATCATCTGCAAACAAGGATAATTTGACTTCTTCCTTTCCAATGTGGACATCCTTTGTTTTTTTTCTCATTCCTGATAGCTTTCGCTAGGACTTCCAGTACTATGTTGAATAACAGTGGTTAAAATGAGCATCTTTGTGGCTTTGTGGTGTTCTAGATTTTAGTTCAGTTTTTCCTCATTCAGTATAGTATTAGCTGTGGGTCTGTTGCATATGGCTTTTTTTTTTTTTTTTGAGACGGAGTTTCACTCTTGTTACCGAGGCTGGAGTGCAATGGCACGATCTGGGCTCACCGCAACCTCCGCCTCCTGGGTTCAGGCAATTCTCCTGCCTCAACCTCCTGAGTAGCTGGGATTACAGGCACGTGCCACCATGCCCAGCTAATTTTTTGTATTTTTAGTAGAGACAGGGTTTCACCATGTTGACCAGGATGGTCTCGATCTCTTGACCTCGTGATCCACCCGCCTCTGCCTCCCAAAGTGCTGGGATTACAGGCTTGAGCCACCGCGCCCGGCCTCTAGTTCTTTAAGGTGCATCATTAGGTTACTTGCTGTTTTTCTTTTTTTTTTTTTTTTTTTTTTTTTTTTGAGACAGCCTCTCTCTATTGCCCAGGCTGGAGTGCAGTAGCACAATTTTGGCTCACTGCAACCTCTGCCTGCCAGATTCAAGCAATTCTCCTGCCTCAGCCTCCCTAGAAGCTAGGACTACAGGCATGCACCACCCAGCCTGGCTAATTTTTTGTATTTTTAGTAGAGACAGGGTTTCACCATGTTGGCCACGCTGATCTTGAACTCCTGACCTCAGGTGATCTGCCCACCTCAGCTTTTCAAAAAATGTTGGGATTACAGGCATAAACCACCATACCTGGCCCAATTTTTCTAGTTTTTTGATGTAGATGTCTATAGCTATAAACTTTCCTCTTAGTACTGCTTTTGCAGTATCCCATAGTTTTGGTATGTTGTATTTCTATTATTATTTTTTTTTTTTTATTTTTTTTTTTTGAGACGGAGTTTCACTCTTGTTACCCAGGCTGGAGTGCAATGGCGCCATCTCGGCTCACCGCAACCTCCGCCTCCCGGGTTCAGGCAATTCTCCTGCCTCAGCCTCCCGAGTAGCTGGGATTACAGGCATGCACCACCATGCCCAGCTAATTTTTTGTATTTTTAGTAGAGACGGGGTTTCACCATGTTGACCAGGATGGTCTCGATCTCTTGACCTCGTGATCCACCCGCCTCGGCTTCCCAAAGTGCTGGGATTACAAGCTTGAGCCACCGCGCCCGGCCTCTATTATTTTTTTCAAGAAATTTTTAAATATCTTAATTTCTTCAGTGACCCCACTGGCCATTCAGGAACATATTGTTTAATTTTCATGTTTTCGTTTAGTTTCCAAAATTCCACTTGTTACTGATTTCTAGGTTCATTGCATTGTGGTCAGAAAATACTTGATATTATTTCAACTTTTTTGAATTTTTTAAAGATACTCCTGATGGGTTGTATGCATCTTAGGAATTTATCTGTTTCTTCTAGGTTTTCATTGGCATATCGTTGCTCATAGTGGCTTCTGATGAACCTTGAATTTCTCTGGTATTTTTCCTTTTTCATTCTCTGATTTTGTGTCTTCTCACTTTTTTTGGCCTATCCTATGGATCATATGGTCTATTTATTTATTTATTGAGACGGAGTCTCACTCTGTTGCCAGGCTGGAGTGCAGTGGTAC